TAAAAACCCCTTTTTTATTAATTCAAGTTTCTTAACACTGAGAACACACATTTTCTCTTGGCACCACCACATGGTTTAGAAGCCTTTGTTAATTGCACTTTACTTAATATGTTAATAAAGCCATACAAAATGTTTGAAATCCAGGGAAAAATTAGACCCGGAATAATAAATGTGGGCATAAGATAAAGATAAAGGTTTATTTCTTTGTAAAAGTTACAATTATAATTTTGGTTTGCTAAGTACAAAGAGCTCAGCCTTGAGCACAGACAATAAATTGGTACAAGTGGCATTGAAAACAGATAGGTTTTGAACATAGGTTCTCTGGCATGTACTGGACAAACGTCTAAGTTAGCAGATTTGGTCTGATACTTCAGAAGATAACCGAACACTGTCACTACGAACAAAATGTAGAATTATGGACTTTTGTTCATTCTGTCCAATAATTAGTGCATTTGTCCAGCCTATTTTTTGTTCGAAATTACCAAAATCCATTAAGTACACAGCCATTCATAGCTACAGGCCTGATCAAATGGGAGGAAGGACTGCAGTCTACTACTCTGATGAACTGAGATGTGTTAAGTCAACATGTACCAGGGATGAAAACGGTGAATATATAATTGCACAGTTTACAACCAGTTACAGTTAGAGCTCTCTATAAGTAACACATACTAATGTTGCCACCTTCAGTGATGACCTAAAAAAACTAATAATTAATAATAAATTAAACAAGCATCATCTAATACTTGCTGGAGACTTCAACATTAACCTCATCCAGGCTGAAGACTAACAAGTAGCTAGGTTCCTTAACCCTTAAACGGTCCAGATGTATATGTTCTTACGCGTAGCACCCCAAACGTATATATATATATATATATTTACTGTCAATAAATTTTAATGAAAATAAGAAAAAATTTTGGAGTGAGTTTAAACAAGTTAAGAAAGCCTAGGGAAAGTATCGATTTGTCAGTTAAAAACAGAGTAGGGGAGTTAGTAGATGGGGGGAGGGAGGTATTAGGTAGATGGCGAATTTTTTGGGAATTTTTAAAAATGTTAAGGAAAAAAGGGGAGGTGGTAATTTCATGCACTGGCCAGGGAGGTTTTCGATCTTTTAGAGTGAAGAAGAGCAGAATGTAAGTGTGGTGGGGGACTAAGGGGCATTACGTAGAAGAAAGGGGGTAAAGCACGGGAACTGATGGATCTGACAAAATTTAAAAACGGGGGGGATATAGTTTGGAGGGTTGGGGTACTTTTTTTTAAAAAATTATGAAAGAGGGAAGGGACCTAGGGTTTGGCAGAGAGCATGTTACCCTTTTTATAAAAGGGAAAGGGGACAAAAGAAATTGAAAAAATTTATAGAGGAATAATTTACTGAGTATACAAAAAGTAACAGTAATTTAAGAAAGAATTAGGGGAAAAGACAGAATGTAGGATTGCGATGACAGGGGGGCTTCAGAGGGGGGTAGGGATTGTAATCAAGTTTTTACTTTAAGCATAATGTGAACATTTTTTTTAGATAAAGGTGGGGGAAGTTTTTTTGCATTTATGGTTTTAGAAAAGGCATATATAGAGGGGAAAAGGGGAGCAATGTGGCAGATTTTCAAGATATGGAATAGGTGGTAATTACAAAATGCGTAAAGATTTTTTTGGGGAAGGAGGCCAGGTTAGGTGTGAGAAGAAGGGGAATATTTCCCCCGGAAAAGTGGGTCTTAGACAGGGTGGTAATGTCACCATGGTTGTTTAATATATTTATAATGGGGTTGTAAAAAAGAAAATGCTAGGGTTTTGGGAAGGGGGTGGGTTTAAATTTAGGGGAATCAATTCAAAATGGAATTGACACGTTACTTTTTGCTGATGATACTTTTGCTTATGGAGATTCTAAAAAAAAATTTGAAAAGGGTTAGGTTTTTGAGAATGTGGTAAAGGTAGAAAGTTGAAATGAACAAGAAAAGAGTAAGTGATGAGGATCAAAATTTAGATAAAGAAAAATTGGATATCAAAGGGGGAGGAGGAGTATGGAAGAAGTGAATTTTTTCAATACTTGGGAGTTACTGTCGGGGGATGGATTTAAAGGATGAGTTTAATCAAGAATTGATGAGGGAAAAAAGGGGTGGTGGTTGAGGTATATGTGAGTCAAAAAACTTATCTATGGAGGCAAAAAGGGAATGTATGAGAGTATAGTAGTACCAACACTCTTAAGGGATTAAACTTGGGTGGAAAATGCAGCGCGAGGAGAGGTTGAGCAGTGGAAAAGTCCTTCAAGGGCAATGTTGGGAAATTTTAAAGCAGAAAATTTGGGAAGGGGAAATTTGGGAAAAGGTTGGATTTTAATAAAAGAAATTAGTCAGAGGCAAAGAGGGGTTTTGGGTGGTATGGTCATTTTGAAGAAAGGGCAAAAGAATGACAGGAAAGCAATAACTCTAAGGGGAAAAGGAATGAAGGGGGATGAGTCTCCTTAAAAGGTTTGGAAAGAGGGGTAAAGGAGGTTTTTTGGGGTAGGGCTTGGGCTTTCAGCAAGGGTGCATGACGTATTAATAGGGAAAGAATGGGGCGAATGATACTTGGGCCTGACGATCTGTTGGGGTGTGAGCAGGGTAATATTTAGTGAAGGGATTCAGGGAAACCGGGTTTTTTTCATAAGTCGGACTTAGTCCTGGAAATGGGAAATACAAGCCCGGGACTTTAAAGGAGGGGTTTTTGGGAAGGCAGTTTTGGGGGGATTGTTTTGTACTTTTTATTAAAAGCTT